AATTCATGTGAATATGACTGAAAAATTTCATTTTTTCTGGAAAGGTGGTGTCTATTTACTTGTGACCACTCAGTGTATATCAACTTGTCTGTACATGAAAACAGTAGTTATGAACAGTAGCCATAGCCATTGACTACTAGAAGTTTTTTCTGATACTTGGAATGGGGAGGGGGCAAGTTATAGCTTGGTTAGGCTGTTCATTAATCCGCCACAGATAGCAATATATATGTATATAAATATTGTTTATTTTGTTGAATCTATATTAGCTATCTGTAATTTAGAAGTGATAAACTAGAGGGAAGGCAGATAGCCAACACCACCCGCCACCAGTTCTTGGGCTACCTTTTATCAACGAATAGTGGGATTTGCCGTCACATATAACTTCCACGACTGGAAGGGGCGAGCATGTTCATTGACGGGATTCGAACCCGCAACCTACAGGCAGAGTCGAGCGCCCAAACCACTAGGCTGTATATAAACAAGATCTGCGTGTTGCTAGTGCGGTTTGGTTGTTGTTAAGTCTAAAGCTACATAGTTGTCACACTCATTGGTATAGGGTGTGAACACGTTGTTTTTTTTAACCAGTTCACACCCAGCCCGAGGTGAAGCGCGGAGGCTTAACTCTTATTTTATGTGATGTAACACTGAAAGTAATCTTCGAATTTTTTCCCTCTCCTAACAACGCCACTTCCTTACAAAACTCGTGATTTTTCCATAAAATAACAATCCACAATATGTTTCTATGCTAACACAACTAAAATGTTGAATTCGTGACGTATTTTGAGAAATGTGAACTACTTTCTGATTTTCCTTGACCTAATGGCGAGTTCTAGTTTCTTTGTGTATTGAAAATCAAGTTGTTTCGTCAGAGAATCGGGGTTAATCATACATTAACAGTAAACATCGTTCAGTTGTTCAATATAAACTTCATTTTTTCTTCAACATGACGTTATCCGTCCTTTCTTAATAACTGCGAGACCATAAAGTATAGAACGGGTATTCAATACAGGATCTGTTAAACCTTTTTGAATATGGAATATTAATCATCGAATAACTTATTCTTTCTACCATGTTTTCCAAGCGTTCCTCAAGTACCAACATCCTGTTTTCCTATATTGACTTTCAAAGTTAAAAAAAAACAAAAGAGTATCGCAGACAGACGTTAAATATGATTTGTACGTTAATGTTTGCAGAATGGTTACCCACGCGACTCTTCACACCCCATTGCAATTTCTTTTTTTTCATCATTACTTTGCGTTTCTTTTTTTTTGTATTTATAAGGGTTGAAATCCACATATATTGAAAACGTCGACAGATATTTTATTTTAAAAACTTTTTTCCCAGAAAACCAAGCCTGATAATAAACTAGCCAAACTTTCAGAATACTTTTATCAAAACTTTCCCTACTATTTTACAAAAAATAAATTACACCTTTTGTTACATATATATATATATATTATAATATCAAAAACAATTTTAAATCACTAGAACAAACTGTATAATACAAGTGACACAAATAAAAGGCTCAAGTTTATAAGTAACTTTAATTGAAACATACGTGAAGAATAGAATTAACGTCATGCAACCGTTTAAACAAATCTTATAAAGTTAGTTACGACTTCGGACTTTTTTTTCGCACAACTTTGGCTACTTGGCCTACACATACGCGTGGATTGTAAAATTTGTCCACAAGCGATATGATACGGGTTCCCCTGATGGGTCAGTGTTAAGTTTACGGACTTACTACGATAAAATCCGGGGTTCTGTTCACTGCGGTAAACAGAACGCAGGTAGCCCAATGTGTAGCTAAGACGTGAATAGTAACTACACAATGTTATTACTAAGCTCGGAGGGTAAGTTTTAGATGGTTTACGGAAAATTCTTCAAAGTAACAGTTAATCGAATGTTCAATTTTTGGATCAATTTTTAATTATTAAATAATGTATTACAAGAAAATTAAGAAAATAATATTAGAAAAAGGCATATAACTTACCGTTCGATGAACTTTCGAAGTGAAATAGACCGATATTATTCAATACACGTATAAATGTAAAAAATAAGATATTTAAACAGAATGGGGAATGTTATTATATCATATTACAATAAGCAATTTTATCACACCATTAAAGATATTCAAAAA